TTGGTGTAGTGAAACATTCCCCCCCAAATGGGTATATTTTTAAAAAAAAAAAAAAAAAAAAAAAAAAAAAAGTGAAGTGCCTTTTAAGAGACACTTAAAAAGAGAGTTACCGCCTCAGCTATAGCCAGGCTGTTGCTTCCACAGCTCTAATCCATCTGCAGCCGCTTGCGAAAGTGGGAAGGGAGCAAGCCGTGCAGGTTCGTAAAGCACAGATCGTCCCAGGCAAACTCGATTGCTGCCTTTAAAGAAATTACAGGGTGGCTGGACAAAGGGATGCGATTGGTTTAATTTATCTAGGCTCAAGCGAGGTGTTCTGCTTCAGTCCTATGAGGAGAGAAATAGCTGGAAGGATGCTGCCTGGGCTGGAATAGCGTCATGTGGGTGGGAAAGCAGTTGGGACCTGAAACAGGGTATTTTAGGGCTGGTGTTTCCCCATGCGCCGTGGGCTATCCCTCTCTCCTTCCCTTTTCCAAGGGGGGGGACCCCAAAGTTTTGGGGAAGCACGTGGGGTTCGTTGCTGCTTGCCCGCATCCCATGCAGTAATGGAGGCTGCCTGTGGGATGAGTCACTGCTCTCTGTTCCTGCCAGAGGTTTTATTTCGGTGTTTTTTTCAGCTCCCTCCCTTGGACTTTATTCACCAGGGTGGGGATTGTATTTGGGAAGGGTGCCCTCCGCTTCCCCCAGCCCTGTGCTGCAGCTCTGTAAGGCAGGATCAGGCCCTGGAGCTGGGCGACCTGGAGGGGAGGGGCTGCCAGAAGCATCCAGGTGGCCGGCCGTGGGTGCTGTGCTGTGCCATGCCAGGTGTGCGATGCCCCACAGAGGGTGCAGGGGCAGTTTTGCAGCAGCCCCAGGGCTGCGGTACTGTCCCCCACGGATCCCCTCCGCAGCAGATCCCTGCTGTCAGGGCAGGCTGCATCCCCTTCCCATCAAACCAGAGGCTCCGCTCCAGTCCGAGGAGCTCCACTTCGGTTCCCTGACCTGTTATCCTGTGGCTGTCAGTGACTGTCATGTTCTCCCCGGAGGTGGCCACAGCCCGGTACCAGGAGATGTGATCTGTGTGCAGATCCCCCACGGATCCCCTCCGCAGCAGATCCCTGCTGTCAGGGCAGGCTGCATCCCCTTCCCATCAAACCAGAGGCTCCGCTCCAGTCCGAGGAGCTCCACTTCGGTTCCCTGACCTGTTATCCTGTGGCTGTCAGTGACTGTCATGTTCTCCCCGGAGGTGGCCACAGCCCGGTACCAGGAGATGTGATCTGTGTGCAGAGGTTCA